TCTTGCTCAGAGGGGATCGACTGATTGTTGAGGTTCTCTCTGCATTATTATTGGGCCTTTACCTTGCAGTATAAAGTGCCCTGAGGTGACTGTTGTTGTGATTTTGGTGTTTTATGTATAAAATTGAAATGAATAATTGTGCTGCAGTGGCTGGACACAGTTGACACACCAGTCAGGCTGGAGACAGAAACTTAGACTGTAAGGAATAGAGGATAACTGTCACACAGGAGGAGTAGTGGGGCGATACTTGAGTGCACGAATACTATTTCTGAGCACTCTTCCTCAGTATAAAGAATGTATTTTTGCATTGTCACCGTTCACTTGTCACCTGCAGTAAAAGGTGCAGGACTGCATCAGTTACACAGAAACCACCAAAAAATGAGGCTCAAAATGCTACCATTGTATCACTGTTAGCACTTTAAATGAAAGCATTTGTTGAAACTGTTACCGTACACGATGTGTTGACACAATTTTATAATAATTAAACATTAATACGACAAACTAGCTAAATTTAATGTCAAGCTCTAGGTTAGCTCAAGTCATTTGGCACCAGGTGAACTGACCCGGGTGAGCGGTAGAGGTTGCCAGGTTTTCATTTTTGCAATATGAAGCAAAATAAAAAGTCTTTGAGTTTATTAAACTTAATGTTCTCTGACCTTTAGAAACCCAAATCCTCTTTCTAATTCCACAATCTCCTGTATGTTATTTTCACAAATGTTTAAAGTTTCTAGCTGTGAGGAGATGCATTTCTAGTATAAACCCAGAGCCCCACTAATCCATGAGACGGTGTGGCATTTACTAGGGTTTTACTTTGATGCCTTTTTATAGTGGCCGTGTGACCAAACACCTGTCTCAGCCTTTGTGGCTTAGCTATGAGGGTCTTCAAATGTCTGTGTGGAGACAGAAAATAACTTTCCCTCCATCACAGTGGAAACTTGGTGTGACTGAGCTGGAAAGACACGAGGAACACGTGTAAGTTTGAAAACAGACTTTAGCCGTGATCCTGCAGGAGGACTTACTGTCCTACAATAAAGAATAAAAATGTAAAAAAAAGATTGTATAATCTACAGTAAAAATAACATTGTTGACCCTCTAGAGTTGATGGATACACATATCACTTACTCATTTAAGTCAAACTACCATTTTCTAATTTGTGTTGAAGTCACATTCAATGCAGGAAGAAACCATAAAAATATTTTTTAAGGACAGAGTAGAAGAAACTATGACTTCACTCTCGTATCAGTGGAAAAAAGCACCTCAGTAGCCAATCACAAGATTATATGGGAACATTTGGTGGCTCTGGAAAAAAAGGGGACGTTGTGGGAGTGGCTTCAAAATCAATAACGGTGATTTTAATAGTGAGTCTTTAGATTAGTGTGTTTAGAGTGCATAGTTATTGTGTCATGTAGTCATTCGTTGCTAAATTTGTATTTAATTGCTTGAAATTTCCAATTTGTATTTGCATTTCAAATGATGAAACTGATTAAATGTATCTTTGGGTTTCACAGCAAATAATCTCTTCGGTTTTTCTGTGATTTATTAATACAGCATATAACGATAAATTTTAACATCTTTTAAACACTTTACTTGTATTTTTCCAATTATCATACAGAACATTCGTATTATTTTACAGATAGCCACATCCCCACAAATCATAAAGACAGATAACACCAAGACAAGAAGAGAGAAAAGAAAACAGGGGTGCACCTCTCAGTTTTTACAGGCCTGTTCAAGGACAGACAGAAACATTCAAGGTTCCTGTTCCAGACCAGGTGGATTGTTGTCGTATGTTAACAGAGGCTCCCATGTTGTGTGGAATTTGCTGATGGATCCGTGGAGAGTACATCTGATTTTTCAGCTTGACATTTTGCATAACATCCCTTATCCAGTGGTGATGTGATGGAGCAGTAGTAGGCTTTTAAATAAAATCAGGCGTCTCGCTAATAATGACAAAAAGGCAATGACCAGAAACAGAAGTCGCTATACCAGAGAAACAACCAAAAATTGCCACCAAGGCGAGATGCTATAGGCACAGGCTTTAGAGATGACTTCAAAACATGATGACCAGAAAAGAGCAATTTTCAGACAGGACCAAAACATATGAAGGGACGTAGCTGGAGTCTGTTTACATCTAACACACGATGGGTCAATGTTTGGAAATATTGTCGCTAGTTTAGCTTTTGAGAAACCTGTGTAACACTTTGAATTGTATTTAGGAGTGTCTTGAACATAGAAGACGAGTGGACCCTGGAATGTTTAGATCTTTCCAGAGATCTAACCGGTCTGGTGATGGTTTACATCATTGAAAATAAATAATTGATTCTTGGCAAGACCATCTGCTACTGGTTTGATGAAAGCTGCAGACAGTGAGGGGCGAGCGGGCATCTGGTGCCCTCTGGAGACTGAAGCTGGAGGATGTTTGGTCATTTGTTCTGAAACAAGCTGTTGGGGGATTATTTAATATTTTTAACCAGTTTATCAAAGAGTTTTTTCTGCATTTAGAGACAATATTGTGTTTTTTACTGGATGAGTAGTCTATTAAATTAATCTACGTGTATTTGTTGATGAGGGCCTACCTTTAATGAAACCAGTTGGTCAGGATGAGTTAAGAGGGGGGTTATCTTCTCTAATCTCTCTGAGAGAGCTTTGCAGATTATTTTATGGTCAACATTCGTGGGAAACACAGGGTGTTTGCTGGTTTTAGCAGGAGACTAATGTTGGCAGAATTCATATTTGATGGTAGTCTGCTGTTTTCCTTGATTTCCTGCAATGGTCTGTGGAGTACTGGTGCCAGAATCGTCCAGAATTCTTTGTAGAATTATGTTGGAAATCCATCTGGACCTTATTATTGGGCAGACTTATCAGAGCTTCCTGGAGTTCGCAGGTCATGAACTCACGATTGCACTGGACATGCTCTGGAGTGAGGCTTGCTCTTATCTTTGAGATGATGTTCCCAGTTCCTGATAACAGTGCTAAAGATTCTCTCTGTCATGACTTGAGCAATTTGAGGTGCATGAGCCTCCTTTCAGGAGAGACTCACTTATATGCCTGTGCTTAATCCAGCTATTAAGCGGCTGTACCTCAGGTGGTAGAGCAGGCCACCGACTACCCGAAAGGTTGGTGTTTCAATCCAGTCTGCGTGCCAAATATCCTGGGAGATGATAGTAACCTCATGTTGCTCTCTGACACACCCATTGGAGTGTGAATGTTTAACTTTATTATGACACTCCTTGCAGGTCCAGGGTTTGCAGGTTTTATTAAGTGTACAAATAAACTTATCATTATTAAATATTTTATTTTGTTCCATTTAGCACCTTGAGTAAACCTTTGTTGTGATTTAGTGCTATATAAATAAAAACTTGTTAAAATAAGTTCATATGGTTGAAATCTCTGGATTCTGCCAGACCTGTAGTGCTTTTTCAAAATTTTCATTCAGCATTTACTGGTAATCCAGATTTTGGTGACCATTAAGTCACGTACAAGTGACACATGTTGAATGTGACACATGAAAATGAAGTTTTGTTCCAACATATATTCACATATATGCTGAGATCATATAGTGAGAGGTGGTGGACTAGTTTGTAATAAAACAGCTGTTTCTAAGGCTACGTCCACACGCACACGGGTATTTTTGAAAACACAGATTTTTCTATGTTAGATCTTTTCGTCCACACGTAAACGGCGTCTTGGGTCACTGAAAATGGAGATTTTTAAAACTTAGTTTTTGCGTTTACGTGTGGACGAGGAAAACTGAGATTTAGTCGCGCAATGTCAAAGGCGTGCACCGTTTTTGACCTCACGCTGTGCTCACGTTATTGTTTACATGAGATTAATTTCTACAATGGTGGACAGAGACAAAATACTGTTGCTGTTAATCTGTCTGCAGTTTTTAAACACTGACACACACACAGTTACTGTCCCTCCATTTAGAAAGGCAGAGGCGCACGTGGCTTCTACATTCAACACAGACGCTCTCACAACTCAAATCCCAATGTCGATTTTGAATAAATTGAATTTGTAAAAAATTAAATGTATGTATGCTGTATGCATTTTGTTCATTATTAAGTTGCGAGTCTACACAACAGCCAAGCTTCTGTCTTTAGTTATTAACATTTGAAATGCACGTGTGGACGTAGCCTAAATATCTTATTTTATTGCATTCTTATTATGATTCTGTTGTGTGTCAGCTGTATCCGGGGAGGTGAAAGAGTTCCCCCTCATGTCAAAAGCGAGTCACTCCTCACTTCCCTGACACTTGATTTGAATGACTGCATCTTGTTTTTCACATACTAATGTGGACTACTCTTTATTGAAATAAACTGTGTCTGTTAGTCGACCTATTAGCACAGAAACCCACCAAACCCAAGCAGCATCATTACAGTTACAGGTCTTCTTATCCTAGAGCTGTGAAATATTTTAATGTTTGCTACCAACTAAGTGTAATTACATTCAGTCCTTCACCAAAAACATGATATACTCTTCTTAGTAAATTGATATTCACCACCTAGACATATTTATCCTGCAAATGTTAGTCTCTATTAAACATAAGCAGATTTGAATGATTAGCTTTTTAATCTGCAGTAACAGAACAAAAAGCTGTTTATGCTGGTGAAGCTCGGACTCTGTCAGACTGCTGTTGTCTCGGTGTTGAATATTTAATAAGTCTTTTCTCAGAAACCGCAGCAGGTCACATCGACGCTGGCCATGCTGCACACTGATAAACTACACCAGGACGTGCACACGCACTGAGAAAGTCTCACATAGATTCACTAGTTGCTAAAGATAGAGCATTCAATCCACCCTTGAGATGATTATTTATTTTATTGCATATGATTCTATTGGCTGTTCGGGGTTGTCTGTCCTATCCAATCTTAAATCCACACTGGTGAAACTTTCATACTTCTGTCTTTTCTCGTCTCATCTCTCCCTCCCTGATTCTGCCTGTTCTCCGTCCTCGCCTGTACTGTAATCACATTACTCTCTCTCTGTCTTCTCTGTAGATCTGAGCGTACACAGAGCATACCCTGCCATCCTTGTCTGATGAAAGAGTCACGACATCTGCTTCAGATACACAGACCATATTCGCATACAAAGATGCAGCCCACTGTGGTTCTTCTCTTCTCCTCGATCTTCCTCCTGGCTTTCATCATCCCATTCTGCTTCTCCCAGAACGAGGGAGACCTGGTTGTTCAGACACGTACCGGTCGAGTTCGAGGCATCCGCCAGCTGGTGCCGGATCAGAGCTACATAACTGCTTTTCTGGGCATCCCCTTTGCTGAGCCCCCACTGGGGAACCGCCGTTTCCGTCCTCCAGAACCCAAACGTCCGTGGACTGGAGTGATCGAGGCCAAGGAATACCCCAACGCGTGCTATCAGTATGTGGACACAGCATTCCCAGGCTTCCAGGGCAGTGAGATGTGGAATCCTAACAGAGACATGAATGAGGACTGCCTCTACCTCAATGTCTGGGTGCCCTCCTCGCCCAGACCTCACAACCTCACTGTCATGGTGTGGATCTATGGTGGAGGTACTTAAGAATTCACAAACCATACTGGGAATATCACTCCAATTGTCATTGGAGCACTGGGTTAGCCGTTCCTGATATATTACATTAGAAAATTCCTCGTCTGTCAGATTATTTTTTATGTAGAAGGACTGAGGATATTACGCTGGAATTCTAATCATTAAACGTCTTGAATAACAGTGATGAATTGTTGTAGTACGCTCTAATATTGTAGGTTAATGCTGTGATATTCCACGTTTCCAGGCTTCTACAGTGGATCTTCTTCTCTGGATGTGTATGATGGTCGTTACCTAGCTCACAGCGAGACAGTCATTGTGGTTTCGATGAACTACCGGATCGGTGCTTTCGGCTTCCTGGCTCTGCATGGCTCCTCCGAGGCTCCTGGCAATGTCGGCCTCCTTGACCAGAGGATGGCGCTGCAGTGGGTACAAGACAACATCCATTTCTTTGGTGGAAACCCTAAACAGGTGTGTTTCTTATTGCTTTATTTGCCTAGCCTCTGTTATGCTAGAATAATTATGAGCCTGTTTTGATTTAGTTTTCTGTTTGTTCTCTCTGTGAAACAGGTTACGATCTTTGGCGAGAGTGCTGGCGGAGCTTCAGTAGGATTCCACCTGTTGTCTCCAGACAGCCGACCCACTTTCACTAGAGCCATCCTCCAGAGCGGGGTCCCCAACTGCCCCTGGGCCTCAGTGAGTCCCGCTGAAGCCCGCAGACGTGCTACACAGCTGGCAAAGTTCGTCGGTTGCAACGGAGGCAATGACACCGAGATAATAGACTGTCTGCGCAGTAAAAGTCCACAGCAACTTATCGATCATGAGTGGCAGGTAATTTACACAAATTCTGCTTGACTTATCGTGTTGTTTGCAACGTGGACGAGAGACTTATTTTCAGTTTGATGTTCTTTAAATTCAAACCACTGGCTCTGTGATGCAATGACATGGTTTATTACCTGTGGTTCCTACTAAGTGCACAATATGTTGTTAAGGATCAAAATCAGACCGGACTCAAACGCAAGACTCTCTTAAACAGTTCAGGAGAGTGCTCCTAAGAACACAAAACAGCCCACTGCTCTCCAGCACGGGCTTCTCCAACCAAGGGCATGTAGTTAGTAAGTTTTTCTCATTCAAAGCCAAGTTGCACAAACACGGATATAAGGAGCCGTGTTTCAGTAACTGAAGACCGAAATGGGAGGTCAGACTAACGAGGACAGAGGGACCATGCCAGTATGTACCTGTATCAGTCAGGGCTGCAACTGAAGATTATGTTGGTAGTTGAACAATCTGCCAATTTTCCTTCCATTAGTCAGTTAGCCAGTGATTATTTCAACAACTCTCACAGTGCTGTGGGCAAACCTGTTCTAGTCTTCAGTCCTCACCTGCTCAAATCTGCCCACTCTGCTGTCTCGTTCCACAGAAAATTAAAATAATGAAACACATGAATTTGAAAATAATCAAATGTATTTTTAAAAGGACTCAATAGGACTGTCAAAATAAAAATCATATAAATAAAAATATTGGTTGCACAAATTAAAGTGCTATTAGTATTTAAATACAAAATAATGTGCAAATAGGAAACTAATTTGCTTTCTAGTCCAAAATAACAGGTTAACCCTGTAATGCTATAAGTTTCTGAGACCTCTGTCACATCAACATGATCAGTACTTCCCATAATTTCAAAATGTTGTGGACAAAACTCTTTTTTGTCTAAAATTAACATTGTTGCCAAAAATGCCCAATGTATCGAATGCGATACAAAAAATATATAATAAAAATATATCATACACAACACGATATAGCAAAAAAAAATATTGTGGATTTTGTTTTAAGGGTTAATAAACATCTCAGTTCAAAAAAATCTGAATTTTCTGGCTATTTTTTGACGGGTTGGGTCTGACAGGGTTAACAAAGTTTACAGATGATTCAGTTCATGAATCCACAATTACTCTGAACATGTTCATCACGATCATTTACCAACAAAACAGATTTAGAAAAGACCGTTGCTCATCACATATTTGGTTATAGATCATAGTTTCTCATTAGGTGGAAGAGGTTTACTGCAATATTAAAGTGTGAGATTTAAAGATTTACTATCACGTTTCATCCTGAGAAGTTTCCGACAGCTAATGTAAACATTACTGTAAAAACATTCATTTAAACAACATGTCAATGCAACCCACTAACTTGTCAAAGGAGCTTGCAAAGAAAAGCGTCTGGACTTCTTTAAGTTGCTTGTCCCTCTGTGGGGGGATTCTCCCACTAGGTTTATATCTGGGACTCTCCACCATTTGACCTCAGAACTGAAGAAGCTTCTCGGATGAGAGGTGAAACGTCTTCAAGCAACTTAAAGAAGTCCAGACGCTTTTCTTTGCAAGCTCCTTTGACTACGATGACCTGGATGACTGAGAACCTTCACAGACAACCCACTAACTTCATAAAACTGACCCATTTGGACATCGCAGCTCCAGCGTGCCAGCGTTTTAAATGCTCGTGCACTGCATCAGTGCTGTCATGGAAGGAAAGCTCTGCTTTGCACAGTCTGCATTTAACTTTGTTTGCTGTTACATGCTTCCACATTTTTTTAAATCTCCCCGTTGCCAAATCTTTATAATCGACGACGTCATGTTGACGAATCGTTGCAGCCCCAGTACCAGTATGTAAAAGTCACACAAAAGGAGTAGCTTGGTTCTGGAGTAGAAAGTAGCACTTCTTGGTGTTCAATGTTGCGTTATTTCACAGTCCCATGTGGGTTTGTAATCCATGCAGGTTCTGCCATGGTCCGCTCTGTTCCGATTTTCATTTGTGCCTCTTGTGGATGGCGAGTTTCTGCCCGACACTCCTGAGGCCATGCTCAACTCAGGGAACTTTAAAGACACGCAGATTCTCCTCGGCGTTAATCAGAATGAAGGCTCCTACTTCCTGCTGTATGGAGCACCAGGCTTCAGCAAGGACAACGACAGTCTGATCTCCAGAGAGGACTTCCTGGAAAGTAAGTTCTCCAAAATCATGTTTGTTTTTTGGATGGATATATGTAACTGAGCAGAGAGAATTGTATAAATCCATCCAAAACATTCAAGTTAATTCTGCTTCAGGTTATTACGGCACAGTTTTACTTCTATCTTGTTAAAAACTTCAGTGTCACTCTTTCAGGTGTTAGGCTGAGCGTACCTCATGCTAATGATATCGGCCTGGAAGCAGTGGTGCTGCAGTACACCGACTGGATGGATGAGAATAATGAAATAAAAAACCGTGATGCCATGGATGACATTGTCGGTGACCACAACGTCATCTGCCCGCTGGCCCACTTCGCTCGCTCTTATGCACAACACAATGCCCTCAAGGCTAATGTGGGTGGCATCAACTTTGGTGGGGTGAACAGTGGAAACTCACAAGGTAGGATACCCGAGTACCAGTGTGGTCTGACAGATCTAGAAGTATATATATCCCATACCCAGACACGCTACTGTTTGAATGACCTGCTTTCTGTTGATAGAACAATTTGGTACGATACTTAAATTAAACTGTGCGTTAAATTTCATGTTTTCACTTTTTAATGCAGATGATAGCTGTTTAAAATATGCTATAATGTGCAGGACAACTTTACAACAATTTAATCTGCATTTGTCATGTAAGCGAAACTGTTGATACTCTGATGATAGATCAGTAAAATATTCTAGTTGGAAAAATGATTTATTTTTTAACTGTCCTTGTAAAAGATTAAAACATATCTGTAGTTTCTGAGTAAAAATGAAATAATAATGATGATTAATTATTTATAATTGTAATTTTCATGCATTTTCTTCCACCATTTATTTCTTAAGGAGGGATGTATCTTTACCTTTTCGATCACCGGGCATCCAATCTGGCCTGGCCAGAATGGATGGGGGTGATCCATGGCTATGAGATTGAATTTGTTTTCGGGCTGCCACTGGTGAAGAGGCTCAACTACACCCGAGATGAGGAGAAGCTAAGCCGACGTATGATGAAATATTGGGCCAACTTTGCTCGGACTGGGTGAGGCCACAAAAAAAAACTACCTATGGAATCAGGGTCTATGTCCACGTCCAGTCTTTTTTATGCAAATGCACCTCAGCAGCCATGTTTTTCAGTCAAAATAAATAATGCAGGAAAAGCTGTATGAGTAAGCAGCCCTTTAATTCCTGTGAGACTGCAGGTCAATGAGTCTTGACATGAATTTGGAGGCACAGAGAGCTTCTCCTGACAGTTAACCCTCATGCTACTTGGCTTAAAGGAAAGGCTTTAATAAGTAAATGTTAACACTGTGAGGTACACAGTGGGGGAAATTTAATTATTTGATCTCCTTTTGAAATTGTATCCAGTTACAAAGAATTGAGAAAGCTACAATTTATTTTAATAGTAGCATAAACTGTCAGCAAAAACAAAACATTCTGTAACAGTTACAAATTCATGTCAGCTTGGAAGACAATTCAGTACTTGGTGGAATGACTGCAGCAAGAAACACTGTCAGACATTTCCTGTATTCAATTCAATTCAGTTTTATTTATACAGCGCCAAATCACAACAACAGTCGCCTCAAGGCGCTTTATCTTGTAAGGTAGACCCTACAATAATACAGACAAAAATGAAATGAAATGAAATAAAATTTAGTGATCCTTAGTGAGCACCTACATGTTTGAGCTTGAAACAACTCAGATATGATTATCTGAATATGTTTCTCATTGAGCAAAATGGCTTTGTTCTGCGCCATGCTGCAATGGAACATGAAGTAGTGATGTACTACGAGTACCGACATCGACTGCAAGCAGAATTGTTGTGAATCTAACAGTTAGTTTGGAGATCATTTTACTGCTTTTTCGTTTGATTTAGTTGTAACTGTAATATCCTTTCTTGTTCTGTCTGTATCAGAAATCCCAATGACGTGCAGGGAGATAGAGGGAAACGCTGGCCTGTGTTTACCGTCAGCGAGCAAAAACACGTTGGCCTCAACACCGAATCACTCAAGATTCACAAAGGTTTGCGAAACCAGATGTGCGCATTCTGGAATCGCTTCCTGCCACGCCTTCTCAATATTACTGGTAAATACTATTAAATATTACTTCATCTCTACACTTGAAATCTGTACTGAATGCAGGTCTTCACTTATGTTCCACTTAAAATTATGACACTTCTCACTGGATGCATGATACAAGAATTATTTTAAACTAAAGTGGAGCTTTCCCACATAGCAGGCAGGTCTGGCCCGGATCTGGTGTCAAGCCGGCACTGCTGGCTGACTTTTGGCACGGTAAGTGGTATGTCATCCAGATATGGGCCAGGCCTGGCGTAGATGGCACTGTTTATGTGATGGCATGCTCATAAAAAACAGGTCTGGCCCGGATCCGGCATCAAGCTGGCACTTCTGACTGACTGGTGTCATGGCAGGGTGTATGTCAACCAGATGTGGGCCAGGTCTGGCAGTGATGGCGCTATTCATGTTCCTGTTTTCCTATTTTAGTTAGAGGACCCAAATGCCAACGTTTCAAATGCAGGTTTGACAGGTTTGTTAGTTTACACTTTATCCAAAACCTAGTGACGGTTTACTCACGGTCACCACCGGGTGGCTGTAGCTCAGGAAGTAGAGCAGATCACCTACTGATTGGAAGGTTAGTGGTTCGATCCCTGGCTCCTCCAGTCGGCATGTCAAGAGTGTGAATGTGAATGAATGCAGTTAGGAAGCGCTCGGTTCAGAGAAAGTGTGTGATTGGGTGAATGTGGCATGTTGTATAGAGCACTTTGAGTAATCCGGGAGAGAAGAAAAGTGCTATATAAGAATCAGGCCATTCACTGTCTCAACAGAGTTTCGTCATGTTACTTTTGCACTATTATGTTCCGGCACATGTTGTTATTACATGGCTTGATTAAGGTACACATTAGGCTGACATCTGGGGCCAGAGCTGAAACTGTTCTGGGCCAGCACAGGACCACCAGTGTGTTTGCAACTGGCCCATGTGTGAGCCATCTCTAGCAAACCAGATCTGTGCCACCAAAGGGCCGTCATTCTTTGCAGTATGTGGGTCATGTGTAAGTTGTGTGCAGCCATGGGCCAGTTGCAGACACATCAACTATTGGGGTGGCTGTGGCTGAGAAGGTAGTAAAGTTGGTGGTTTAAAGCACTTTGACAGCTCAAGTAGAGTAAAAAGTGCTATTTACGGACCAGTTCATTCCCTCTGTATTGAACGACACTCTGAGGAGAGCAGTTGCTGGACTTTTGGGAGGGGAAAGCTCTCCCATTGATGTCTGGTACAGGATTCAAGCTGTTAAACAGTAAAAAGAGACACTTTCTATTTTGTGAAAAACATTAGCTCTGTTTGAAGTTGATTGCAGCAATACATATCAAAAGTTGGAAACACTAACTCTAAAGGCTTAGAAAGCAAGAGCTTCTAAAAATAGAACAGCTTGAAGATCATTTTGCAACTAATTAGGTTAACTGGCACCAGCACAGTAACATGACTGGATATTAAAAGGCAGGCGGAATTTCTCAGAAGTAAAGACGGGCAGTGTTCTCCAAGCTTTTTCTGTCACGTGACAGTGAAATGGAGCTTCGCCAGTCTGCAGAAAGCTGCATCTACAGATTGTGGAAGAGTGTCTACTTAATAGTCCTCAATGTAAAATTGCAAAGATTTGGATGTCTTATTACTTACAGTATATTACTGTATGTCCTTAAAAGATCATGGGAGAAATCTCTGTGCACGAGGGACAACGTGAAAATCAATCTTGGATACTGATCAGGCAGCACTGCATTAAAAAAAACAGACATGATTCTGATATTTATCCAGAAATCACAGTATGTAAAAGGAGTTTACCATACCATCCACATATGCAGGTTAAACCTCTGCCATAGAAAAACGAATTCAATATGGTCTGGGGGAACATGGAGAACTGTGGTCAGATGAATCAAAATTTCAAATTCGTTTAGGAAAACATGGACCCTGCATCTCTTGACCTAAGGAGGTATCTGGTTTGTTTAGCATGGATTTGGTATGTTACACAGACCTTTTATCAATGCTAAAAGGTATGTACAGCATTTAGAGCAAATAAACTCTTTAAACTTGGTCCTGTCCCAACTTCAAGATGCATTGCTGTCATCAAATTTAAAATGACTGTATTTTTTCTTTCTAAAATGTTACTCATGTTCTCATTTTAAGCATTTGATATGTTTTCTGCAAGTCTTCTAGCTTGCTTACTTGCCACAGTGCACTGTGCCACCTACCAATAGAAAGGAAAAAATAATGTGCACATTTCCACGAGAGAAATCCCACGCCTGATTGTATCCTAGCCATTCTATCCTCGCTTTTTACATCCAACACAAAAACTGCAGTCGCGGTGCTTTCGATTGTACTCAGAACTCGGAAATTCTGCCTTCTGAATACGAAGATGTAGGCAACACCAGACTGCAGATGAGCTGCTTACAGGGCTGGACTGGGACAAAAAAATTGTCCCGGGCATTTTGACTAGACACCCACCCACCATTATAGGAAAAATCATAAAGCCTTTGAATGAAAATAAACACTGTTGTGACAGTGATGTACACTGTTTTGATGGTACATATGCATCAATCTATCAATCGTTTGTTGTAAGACTCAGATAATTATTTTTTTAAAAGTGAGACATTTTAAATGAGAATAAGAAAGAAAAGTATTTCTTTGTGCCCCCCTCTCCCTTTTAATGCCCTACATGGACCCCTGGCAACACTTTGCTAGATCCGCACCTGCACAGTTACCAGCTGTCAGCTACCTAAAAAAGGATCCTGGTGTTATTTGTCTCTCAGAAACAGTTCATAACTTCCCTTCAACTCATTCATGTCACCTAAAAGGTAAACCTGTTTCTCCATCACCTGTTCAGCTCTGATGATCCAGTAAGGACATCTCCTGGTTTCATCTTCATGTTTCCCTCTCATCACATATTCAAACCGACATCATGACCAGCAGCTTTACAGCTGTGGCTCCAGCAAACATCAGCTGATACTAGAAATTAATATTAAATAAATTCTAACAACAGCTGATCAAACATGCTGCTGTTGTTTAGCGCGACATCCGCTGGTTTCCTCTTTCTGGCGCAAAGTGAGCGATAAACAAACAAGAGAGAAAAGCCGATCAGCTGATCATTGATCAGTTTTCATGACTGAAGTACAAACAGGAGAGGGAGGGTGAGAGGATGAGAGAAGAAGAGGCAGCTGTGCAGCAAAGACACAGAGTAACTCCAGCTTTGTGCCTTTTTCATTGTAGCTGAAGTCCGGGACAAACTGTGTTTCTTTTCACCTCAATAAGAAACGCGTAATATTTTCTCTGAATACCAGACGATTCCGTTTTTTTACAGGACGGTTGGCAGTAATTAACCTTATGAACAAAATAAAGTTCAACATCAGTAACATAGCACCCACCCAGCTGTATAGAAACTCCGTCATGCTAGCTAACACACAGTACGAAAAAGTCAGCATAACGAAAATAAACTCCACCTAAACTTGGTTCATATCTGACCCAGAGAGACTGCAGTTTATAACTTCTTACCTGAAGTTCAGTTCACCTGATACTCGGACCGGCGGCCGCTTCGGGTCTCTCCTCTTGCCTCCCTTTTCCTTCATCCACCTGCTGGCTTCCACCACTTGCTAATGTTATTGAATCTGTGGAAGCTCCGCGATAGCCACCACACGAAGTAACGAATAACGAGCCTATCTAAATCCCAGTAACGAGTAACGCATTCCCGGTTTTGGCATAATAACTAGTTACTGTGCTCGTTACCACAATAATAACGTAGTTACTGTAACGCGTTACTTAATAACGCGTTAGTCCCAACACTGATCATAAGTTATCTAAGTGACTTGTATATCATGTTTAACCTGAGTGGCGAAAGACCGCGGGGGTCTGAAAACGATGTGCCGGGAGTCCGGTGTTCTCACCGGCTCTAGTGAGCCTTGAACCCTCTAGTTATTGAGCTGGTGGGTAACGTCTCCGAAAACATCGCCGAACTTTTCCAAATATGTGGTGTCTTGATAAACTGAGCAGATATTTGAAGTTTACACAGCTACATTCTCGCCTGAAAATATCTTAAAAGTTTATTTTGTGACCCAGAAAGAGTAATAAGAGTAATATTAAAACTAACTAGCTGCCACCATTGTTGGAAACTGCAATTGGCTTTAGCTAATTAAAAAAAAAAGGCAAAGAACAAGGTGCGCATTAGGTTTGGAAGATGGGATAGGTTGGCCACGAAGGATTCACCCGACCCATCCTTCAAATCTGGGGAAATGAAGGACGCATTCGTCAGACCCATTTGGAGGAGTTTTTGAATTTGCACAGCCTTCCTCGTGTCACTGAAACGTAATTGGGCTACAAATGCGGTTCCTGAATTTGGACACAGCTCCGATACCGGTCACTGCTGCTTCTTCTTCTTCGGGGTTTAATGGCAGCTGGCATCCTTGTACATGCAGTGCTGCCATCTTCTGTTTCAGTCCGTTATTACACTCTTAAATCCTTCTACTTATTCCTGCGTCTTTTGGGATCTTACAAAGCTTCAAACGACGGATCAACTATTAAAACTATCAACGAATCGTGACTAGTCGACAAATCGTGGCAGCCCTACTTCAAGCTCAACTGCTAACCGTTTTTGCTGTTCTGTCTCTGTTTCTTCTCTCAGACAACATAGATGAGGCAGAACGTCAGTGGAAGGTGGAGTTTCACCGCTGGTCTTCCTACATGATGCACTGGAAGAGTCAGTTTGACCACTACAGCAAGCAGGAGCGCTGCACTGACCTCTGAGCGCCTCAGCGAGGAGACGACGGAGAGAAGAGCGGCGAGCGAGCCGTGGCTGTTTTCCTCCATAGTTCCTGAGTGAAGGCTGACATCTTTTTGTGGTTCTTTTGGTTCACAGCATACACAAGCAGAGGCACTGTTGTCATTTATTTATATTATTTATAATATTTATTGTTTTGTTTTTTTATTTGTGTATGTGTGTCTGTGGAACTTAAGGGCTGTGGAGTAAAACTTGTCATTGGAGGAGTAAAGATGCGTCATTACCTCGAATGTGTGTGCGTAACTATGTGTGCGTCTCAGAAACCGCCCAGTTTGACTCAGATAACTTAACTGACCCGTCAGACTGCTCCACTACGGATTTACTGTAACCTCACTCATCTCTGTGGTCATTTCGTCACTTTTTTTGCTTTCTGGGGATTTCTTCTTTCCAACATATCAGTTGTATTTTTGGTCTCATCACTGTTTTGTTTCTCTTTTATTTATTTAGTTATTTTTATTAATACTGTTACAACCACTACTCCCATTACCTGTACTGGTCTTGCTTTGTTTGTGTGTTTCTCCTGTGGTAAGCCATATACTATTTTGCATTTATCTAACTGTTGCTGTGTGTGAAAATATCTGATTCCTCACATTTTACTCAATGTTAAAACTGCTGTATTCTAGTTTGATGTGAGATGTAGATAGTATATTACATCCAGACCAACTGACTGGTGCCTAACTCGCATTATATTACAAGTTCACTCAGTTTCACAGTTGAATGGAAACAGAAACGAGTCCCGTTGATGTTTATGGGTCCTCTTGAGCATCGCCTGTCTGTTGAAGTGCGTCGGTGCTCAATTCTTCTAAATGTTCAGCCTTCCTGTGAGGGTCGATTCTTCTGCACAACTGCACTGAATTGTGCATGTGTGCATGGCCACCCAGTGTCCTTCACAGGGGTCCCGTGTGCCACTCATGTGTGAGACAGTAAGCTCGATCTTTCTTTTCCTCCTTTTTTCTGTCACTCCTGTTTGTCTTCCACCACAACAACCCTTCATCCAGTCCCTCTCTCTGCTTTCTGCCTCTCCATCTTCCTTCCCTTTTATTGTCCTCTCCACTCTAGTTGTCATCTTCATCTCTAATAAACCTCCACCCACCCTCATTTCTTTCTTACTCTTTTCCTTTATCCATTATTCCCGCCTCTCCCTTCCTGTTTCTCACTTTTATGTTAGGCCTTTTCCATTCCTCGTTTGTTTCCTTTCGCTCCCTCCTTTTAGTTATTCCTTATTCATCATCTGCCGTATCTGTCCCTCCTTCCTTGTCGGCTCTGTTACATCACTGCTCCCTCTCCCTTCCCCCTTCCTTGGTGCTCCTGCTTTGTTGTTAGTCTAATGGAGGTAGAGTAATTCACTCAGCTGCAGGATAATGTGGCAGAGTACTGGCTCAGCCTCTGGCCTGCTAGCCAACAGGACCTGCTGAATGCAGAGGTGGAGAAGTGATGGGAAAATGACAAGACAGAGAAATGCACTCCTATGTCACAAAAGTAATACAGATATGCACTGATCATTTGAAAACTCAGATGCGCATTTTGTTACATCCAGGGCCATAAAAAGACGTTTGCATGTTCGATCCTGTGATTTGGTTGCAAACACTCATGTGTGGCAGCATTCACCTGCATTTGAAAGAAAATCAAGAAAAAGACTTTTAACCTTTAACTTGATGCTCACAATTTTCCCATTTCTGGGTGCTTCGGTGACCCAAGCCGCCTCTTACTCTTACTTAATGACGATAATCTTATATTTGCATATCTTATGAAAGAAGTCGGAGCCTGCATCGTTCCCCGTGTTGTGAGCATGTTATACTGAAGAATCAAGACAGTTTAGTCAGATTACAACCTTGTTTGCGTAGGATCCAGATACCGTTTGTTCCCCTTATCTTTGTTAAGATATGTTGCCTCATGAGTTATTATTAGTTTAGCAGTAAATGATTCACTTTACATCCAGTTGTCTTGTTTACACAAGACCTGTGATACGAGCTCGGTCACCTGGCAGGTTGTTATTCATCCATATTTTCTGCACACTAAATAACTTGTGAATATTTATTAAAGTAATATTTGCATTCAAATCTATTATATTCTACATTAAAAGTATAATCGTACAAGACTTTGGGGCAACTCTGCCTGAGTTATGAGTCACTACCACCCATATCACTGTGTATGTATGTGTGTTATCACTGTACTTCTGTCAGCCTTTCTTACATTTCCATTTGAGTATTGTGAGGGAGCTGAAGCAACGCTCTGATTAGCTGTTGGCTGCCCCAGCACAGTGTCCCCGTTGGCATGTAAAGCTCCTATTTGTGGCTCAGTCGTGTAGTCTAGCTTTAAAAAGAACTAAATATGACAAAAAAAAGTATTGTACATGTGTAAAATACCAGTAAAGAGTGCATGTTTGAAAGGCCATGTGACTGACACCTCCTCCCTCCAGCTCCTCTCGGACAGAGAGATCCTGCTTAAGCCACTTCTATCGAGTCCTTGTGCATGTCCAGAAGCCCATCATCTGCAGTGTATCCTACCAAACTCTGACTGTTATATTCTGTGAAATTTGTACTTTCAACAAGCCTATTATCCAGTATCTCATGTAAGGTACGTTTGATGTTAGCAATAACAGAAATGCATCAGTAAAGGAATATATTTGATATTTAACGCAGTGAAAATAAAACGTGATAAAACAGCAACGATGAGGGGCAGAGTCATTTTAAAAGCAATATTTATTCAAAGTATGAACTTAATGAGTGCCGATGACTATTTTCTTGTATAAACTGTTTGTTTGACTCCTTTTCAGTCCTCTGCCTCATCGTTGTTTGTTTCAGTCACTGGTACTGTAAGTGTTGAAGGCTTCTGTAGCTTCCCAGTATGTCTCTGTGTATGACGAACGCTGAATTTATTAAGCTATAGCAACAGAAATAAAGGGAGCCTGCTGTCGATCTCAAGTTTTTTATTGAATCTCAGCATGTACCGACAGACACACAAGTTTTAGTCTCCGTCTGGACTATAAAAAGTGTCCCGTGTGAAGATTTTTAGTGTGCAGCACTGAAACAGACACACTTCAGAATAAGACCATGCAGAACACAACTACTAAACATTTCAGTCGTTTGATTATTTCTCAACTTTTAATAGTTTAGGTGATGCAAAACACTGAGCCAGCCTTGCTGCTCCAACAGTATTTGAATAGTACTGTCGCCTAGAAATGAGAATAAAATCCATCAGTTATTGTGACAATAAAGACATCACAGTCTTGAAGTCATTCACACAAAGTTAATAATGAATGTGTGAATGCAAATACATTGTTGCAAATGATTGACGATGTGTGCAAACGTTTCACAGCTACTCTGTCATCTGCTGAAATATATGAACATATAGTGTAATACTGACTCACTCTGAACCTTGTGAGTAGTTGAGGCTCGAGGTTTATCATAGAGCAGCACAGGATAAGGCAAACATTTCTGTGATGCTGTTTAATCCTTTGAACAAGAAATTAGTTTTGAATTATCACTTTAAACCGTGTGGGACTGAACCAAATGAGAACTAATAAAGTTTGGTAAAACTGGCACACACACAATAATGACTAACAAAAACGTCAAAGCTTTCTGGAGCGGAAATATGGAAGATGGAGTTCCACTGTATCCAATCAGGACGTGGATTAACTGCCTCGGTGGGTCTGCTGGATTAATATTAATGTCAAAATGACAGTTTGTAAACATGAGATGCTGTGAAATTGTGACAAAAACACAAGAGTCGACTTTTCTAAATAATAAAGTAGATTCATCCAAATAAGACCGAAATAACAAATGTGTTGTTTGAGTTTGTGATGAACAGCAGAATGTTTCTATGCATCCTGAATTATTCATTCACTCACGCATTTAAAGCGAGCAGGAATGTTCAGGGAAATCTGATGCCAAAATCTTAGAGAGCACTGAAAATAATCCAGTAATTTTCTTTCGGTTCTTTGATGTCGGCAGCACCAGCAGAGGGCAGCAAACCCGGTGTCTTACTTTCTTAAACCAAAATAATTCACATAAATCAGCCTCAAATATGAGGAAACTTACCTTCTGCTGTTTTTAAAGGTTCCATGTGATCAAATAATACGCTGTAGTATAGCAGGATAGTATAATAGCAGCTCATATGCAACGGAGGGAAAAAAAGACTGAATAAGAAAAACAATATTTACAAATATGACCTAAATGGTAAATTTAGGTCATATTCAGATAGATTAACAGTAGTTTTAGTTGTCAATAAGCCACTAAAACTACTGTTAATCTAACTGATTAATAGCTGCCTTGGGAGCCACCATCTGGAGGAGGAGCAAAAGGAGGACAAAAATATGTTGTTATTGCTCCTTATCTGTTCGCTGCTGATATCATAAAGTGCGCTCCACACAAGTTCTGGCACAGAGGCAGCAGGTGATGCATTGCTCACACTGCTACGTAAGAATTAAGTATCAGTAACCATTTTATGGATGTTTCCTGTAACTTATTGAGGCAACAAGTGAGGAACAATGAGCTACACCTTAGAGACAAAGACTCTGAGAGGGGTGATCAGTTCAAGTATCTCAGGGTCATATTCACGAGTAATGGGAGGAAGGACCAGGAGATTGACAGACAGATTGGTGATGCGGATGCAGCGATATGGATGCTCTACCGGTCTATCGTGGTGAACAAAGAGCTGAGCGTAAAAACGAAACTCTATATTTACCAACCAGTCGATGTATATCCCTACTCTCACCCATTGTCAGGACACGCTGGAGAGATTATATCTCGGCTGGCCTGGGAAGGCCTTGGTGTTCTCTAATGGCCATCTAATTTTTACAGCACCAAATCACAACAGCAGTCCATCCAATGTGCTTCATATTGTGAGGCCAACAATGATCCAGAGACAACACCAACAACCTAACAACCCCTGATGAGCAAGCACTTGGAGAAAAGCAAAACTCGATTGTAACATGAAGAATCATGTGGCAGAACCAGGCTAAGGGAGGGGAACAAAACAAAAAACAAACAGAGGATCAACAGGGGTCCATGACCCTCTTAGGGACACTCCCATAGGGCTTAAATCTGGGACTCTCCACCAATTGCTCGAAGAACTGAAGAAGCTTCTTGGATGAGAGGTGAAATGTCTTCACAGACCTTAAAGAAGTCCAGACGCTTTTATTTCCAAGCTCCTTAGACCACCATGACCTGGATGGCTGGAAACACACGTGTGGTTAGATATTATATTTGCAAGATTTTTAGGGCCCAGTACAATAACCTCAGTTTGATCTGAATTTAGAAGCACAAAATTAGAGCTCATCCAGGTTTTCATGTCTTTAAGACCTTAATGCAGTTTAAATAACTGCTATGTGGTATGGAGCTTTCACATTAATGAACATGTATGCTATGCCTTCACATTGCCTGTTCATTATGCTGTGGAACACCATAATTAACCTGAGTGTGTTTCCATTAACAAATTGGTCTCCATCAGGTAGATATGATTTAAACCACTGCAGCAACCAACCTTTAATTCATAGGTATGGCCTAATCTCTGTAATAAAATACTAAGTCAACAGTGCTGAGGACTAGCACAGATGAGTCCACTGTCAGAGCCCATAATAAAATGGCCTATTATTCACCTTCCTGCAAAACACAGGATCCACGTTTAGTTTTCACACAGAAGAAGCTATTCTTACGATTCAATGGAATTAATCAAGGGCTACCGAAATGTTAGCAGTAACTGATTGTGGTGCTTGGCACTGTCCCAAGCACCACAGCAAGAAGGTCCTGAGACGTTTCTCCCACTGAAAACATCCAGATGAACAGAATCAGCTTTTGTGGATTTGCTTACCTGGATGATTGAACATGCATCAAGAGGGTCCCGAGTACAAATCCATTAGCTGACTGGGGCCTTCTATGGAGCTTGCATGTTCTCCCCCATCTTGCGAGGGTTTTCTCTTGAGCACTCTGGCTTCCTCCTACAGTCCAAAGACATGAATGGAGATTAGGTTACCTGGCAGTTCTAAATTGGCCCTAGGTGTGGATGTGAATACTTGTGTGTCTCTGTGTTACTGTGATGGCCAAAGCCATGGCCACACTCTAAAAGTCAGTAACTCTTATGTATTCGTTATTTTTGATTTAAATAACACACTTTAGTTTGCAGTAAGTTTATTGATTGGTTTGGATACATTTGTTCTATTTGTAAGCACGCACATTTAGTTTATCTATGTATTTACACCAATTCATTTCTTATTCTTGATTTTGTCTAATCTTCGTTTCCTTCACCTGTGATGAGCCCTGGGAGTTGCCAGACAGAACGTGGCAGCCAGGGTTTACAGCAGTTAAAAATCGCAGAAATCGCATGATAACGTGGGGCCAGGTTTCACAGTGAGCTCACCCGAAACCCTGGCTGATTGGGACCCACACCCATGACCCTCTTAGGGACACTCCCATAGAGCTTAAAATCTGGGACTCTCCACCATGTGACCTTAGAACTGAAGAAGCTTCTGGGATGAGAGGTGAAACGTCTTCAAGCAACTTAAAGAAGTCCAGACGCTTTTCTTTGCAAGCTCCTTTGATTCTACAAAGATATTTTAGAAGGAAAAATAAGAAACCGTGGTTTTATCGCCCGCTCACAGCGCCAGCTGTAGCTTTGTTGGAATCCTCAGCTTGTCTCCTCCTCCCACCTTTGGCTGTGTGCACACTTATTTTGAAGGCATCGACAGGAAGTAAACCCCTAATTCCAAAGTGGACCTCTGCAGGAAAGTTTCTCAAGGGATTCCTTTGTTCGTGGGTTTGGACCGGGAGAAAGTGGGTATATGGCATGAAATAAACCAGAAGTTAATAACATCAGCTGAGTGAGGAGGAGGAAGCGTCTGTGGACACAACGAGGAGTTCTCGGTGAAAAGGCAGAGGGACGAAGCTCCTAATGGAAAGAGAGGGAAGATGACTAGGAGGAGCCGAGGACGGAGCTGAGCTATGTGGCAAATCTCTGAAGAACTTCTCCGTCCGTGAAAGCAGCAGAGCCGCCTTTATTTCGAAAAAGTGGTGAGTTGGAATCGCAGTGGGCCTGACACGGTGAACTGGTCTGATGTTTCCTCCAAACTTTGAATCCACGCGGGGGAAAAGTTTCAGAGGAAGGGCCGAAGCTTCAAGCTAGGCTGTGGAAGTTCCTCCAGCGAGTTAAACCTGAGGACAGAGTCAGGCCCTGCTGCTGTAATTCAGCAGTACAGTACCTCACATTACTGCTGTTTATTTAATCTAGTTAAACAAACTTCTTCCACATGTGACATGTTGTCTTGTTTTCCGGATGAAACCGTGGCTGCACCCTGAGTGTTTCGGTGCTCATCACAAAACGTCCTGTTTCTGTTGCTCACGTTTTCCTTTTTTTAAAAAGTCCCGATCTTTGAATATTTAACTGCTCATACCGGTTATACAATTAGCTCGATTCATATTTGGCAATGATACGTTTATTTTAAACTTGTTTCTGTTCACAACACCGTAGATCTGAAATCAAACGATCGATGTGTGATTGAATTCAAAGGGTTTAAAAAGTATTTCACTAATAATGTAGGAATTATAGCTGTTTTGTAATCCCGGACAAATGAAGATGATTTTAATGTTAGTTTTTCTTTAGTCCTCTGCAGTCAGATACTGCTTAAGAAGAGAGCTCGTAGATGGAACCAAACACTGCATCTTCCTGTTGTTTATTAGCTAATACAGTGAAGAGGTGACCGGAAGGAGAGAGCGAGAAGAAGACGCCAGCAAAGGGCCTCAGGCTGCTGCACTGAGCCTTGTAGCTGTTTGCCTGCTCAGTCTGAGCTACACCAATGTGCTCCCAACATTCTGGTGCACGTTCATTTTCGCCTCCTCTGTCCACTTACTGATCCACTCTGTCCACATAATCTTTTCCAGAACTGGGCACGTTGTGGCGTTCCTCAGGCTTCCCATCCTTCAGCGTAACCAGTGGGTTCCACCTTGTTATGAAGCTTCTGTACTTCCTTTCATGAAGTTGTCTGTTGATTGCAGACTGTTAATGACAGGCCTTCCTAAGTGCCTCATTGTACAGCCTATGATCTAACAATCAGATGATCTATGAACAAGCACTTGGTGACAGTAAGAAGGAAAAACTGCCTTTTAACAGGAAGACACCTCTGGCAGGATGAGGCTCAGGAAGGGGAGGGGCCATCTGGTTGTGGTTGGCCATGTGATTGGCTGGTTGGGTCAGAAAGCGACACCACAAAAGGCAAACTATGGTAGAGGCCGAGTTTTATAATTGTGACTACATGCAATGTTCACTGGGATAAAACGATCTCTATCCCAGTAAAGATTTGTTTTATCCCAGTGAAGATTGTCAACATGAATATTTCATTCATCAGGATGTGATTGAAGCAGGCGGTCTGATGTAAAGCTGCGAGCATTTTAACCCAGTGCTTCCCTGCTGTCCAGATGGAGGGAGAGAAGGAACGACTGAGACAACATCGGGATGAGAAGGAGAGCAACGAAGCAGATGATTACGGCAAGTGTGACGACGACAAAGACAAGGTCGAGGAAGATGGGGAAGACTTGGTGGGGGCAGCACTGGTCTGGCAGGAACGCTACGGCGAGGACAATCTGGGCCTTCCCATCATGCACTGGGAGGCCCTGAGCTTGCGCATTGCCGAGCTTGAGAAGCAGGAAGAAGAGAAGAAGGAGAAGAGGTTAAAGGTCAGAGATGTTGTTGTCTTGCTGAAAGATGGTGTTTGTGTACACGTTGACTTTGACAATTGCAGAGGTGTGAGCGATGATGGGATACATAGAGACGCCCATCTCTGAATCCACGTGAGCGTGAATGTAAGATAGAAAGCACTTATCTCAAGAGTTTCACCTGTAGGCTGATCAGAACTGTTCAGTGATATTTACCGATGTAACGCGGTTTGTTGAAATGGTTTTAACATGTGGCTGCTGTGCTTGTCAGACTGGCCTTTCTCTGGAGCAAGGAGGAGCCCCAGTCAGCTGGAAAGAGGAGCGAGGGAGGAGAACGGAGAGCTGGGAGGACGGCGACGACGCCTGCAATAGTCACGTGCTGGCACTGACCTCTCGGTACAGGCGCGCCTCTTATTTCTTACTGGATGTCTGTTAACACCGTGTTTGTCTCTCAGTGTGCGGTCGCTGCAGTCTGCTCGCATCTGTTGCAAGTTCCAGTTTGCACACAGTCAAAGTCTTTTGGGTGGAGATTCTGGTGCAGTATGAGCTGCAACCATGCTTTCCTCATACTGCATGATCTGACAAAATGAAGGAATTTATTAACAACAAAAGTTAAGCTTTGTTTTCGTTTGGTCACGTTGGAGAGGGAGACTTTACCTCTAAGCAGGAACGTGAGTACAGGGCAGGTTAAAGTGGGATTCGGCAAGTGGGGAACTCCCTAAAATGAGCTTTGATGGCTCATGTGGGGAAACGAAGCACCGCTCACAGTAATTTCTAACGTGAGCTCCAACAGATTTTCTTAATGTACAGGTTCTGATCAGCTGACCTGCTGCTCTTTGCAGATTTATGCATGTGAATTTAGCCAGATGTGAGCAGATGTTTCATGAGTTGCTCTTCCATCCTCCACACTGACAGCGCACTGTTCATGCTGCCTTTATACTCGAGGGCCACTGTGCACCAATCACACACGTCCATCACACTACAGCAAACTAGCCTGCAGAGGATTTCATGCAGTCTTTAAATGACACAGTTAGTCTGCTTCAGTTTGATTTGCAGCATGAAACAAATAACGTCACAAACACAACATGTGGTTTAGAATAAAACTGAATAGAATAGCTTCTATTGTCACTGTACATGTACAATGAAATTATTATTTGAAAACATGAGAACAAGCGTTAAATGTGCAGTTTATCAAATCCCACTGAGCAGTCAGCTGTTCCTGTCCCGTCTTTATCTTTCTCATCTCTGAGTGAAGTCGGCTTTTTCTTCTGTCTCAGCTCATCAACACACAAACTGCACACACAGGTTGTGTGTTGATGACTTTTGTTGAGCTGATAGAAATGTTGCATATGCAATCACCCCACACTTTAAAAATATTACTCCTTTTATGTTCGCTCCTCTTTTGTGCTGCTAGCTAGATGCTAAGCAACCAGCTGTGATGTGAGATTGGATATGTGTTCATGATGGTCCACTGACTGGTGTCTAACCCTCAGCCTGCAGACACGGATGAATCTCCAGCTCTGCTTCATCAACAACAGTGAAAGTGAAGAGGAGGAGGAGGAGGAAGAGGAGAAGAAAGGAGATGTTAGAAAGAAAGAAAGCAGCTCATGGGTAACCACTTCATGTACAACACAGATTGTTCCAAATTACTTACAGTTAATATGTAGTTGCAAAATGTGATGCAGAGCTGAAGTAGCAGCGCTGTCACATGGCCTCATTTCATAAGTGTGCTCAGATTTGCCGTCTGTTTTCTGCTGAAGAGAGGAAGTGTTCAGATTCACAAGGATCCTCAGCCTTCAAGCAAACCAGAGAAACAAAAGTCGAGAGGCTTCAGGAACACTCTGAAGAACCTGCGAGACCGACTAAGGACGGACCACAAGTCTTTGGTGAGACAAATATTCAAAGGTGGAACAAACTATGTTATCATATAACCGAGTTCGAGTTATAGGAATCTGTCCTCTGCTCCCTGCACTGCATGCTGGGAGTGTAAACATTGATATGATGCCAGATTACAGCAACAGCTGCTTTAAGGAGTGAGTGCATGGAGGTTGTGGTTGGGACGCTTTTATCTCTCACCTGTGTTTGTGTGTTTCCGTGTTGTGCAAGTGTTTTTGCTACAGTTTTGTCCGGCATCATCTCCCTTCGGCTGTTTTGTGCATTATTGGTGATTAAATCTGCTATGGATAATTTTCAGTCAACGTATTGAGGTTGTTTTTCCAACGGCGCTGGAGCGCAGCTCCCGGTATACTTCCGGGTGCTACTTCCCCTCTTGCCGGTCATCTCGTTTTTGATTCGGAGGCCTCATCGGTGGAAGTGCGGGAAGAGTGCTGGTTTTCTTGCGCTGCTTCGTCAGCCTCTGAGAGAGGAAGAGGATCTTTGGGAGCTTCACTCCTGGTGTGCCGCCGGTCAGGTTCGCCTGAGACTTGTGGGGCTGGATTGATCTCCATGCCCACTTGTGTTTGCCACCTTGGGCAGTCATGTGAAAGCGTGGAAAGCCACGGCTCATCGTGGTAGGATTTGCTGTGCAGCGTAGCCCAAAGTCGGGACTCCAGGCCCCTCTGCACCTGTCCCCGTGGGCCTCACCAAACTGCCAACAAGTCTTAAATCTTACATGATTGTTCTGAGCAGAGAAGCCTGATATTATGTTCATCTCTGAGACATGGCAGCGTCAGTCCCACAGTCCCACAGTCTGCTCATTTCTCTGTGCACCTTGGATCTTAACTTCATAACTTGTGCTATTAAATTGGCCGTCACTTATGGAGTTTTCCTTCACCATCTGGACACAATCGAAGTTGTTTTCACTGACCATAAGTTGGTCTCTTTGAATGTATGTTGCAGCTCAGCGTCTTTTCCCCAAGTCTGTATCAGGAGCAGGAGCTTTATTGATGACTGTATCAATGCTAAGTTTTCTTCTGATGATGTTGAGCTCCACATACACAATCCACAGTTATGGACTAAAACTGCTTGGTTCTACCAGCTTGAGCAGTATTAGCAACATCTGGGCTGCCAAAGCTGACAGGGTTGTGACTGGGAGGGCAGTAGAAATCTGCTGCCATCCTCAGGTCGATGGGTGTCATTCTGGTGGAGCACGTGGGGGGTGCTCTTCCTGGTTTCTGTTAGTGAGCATCAGCTGGAGGGTCTCAGCCAGTAGTTTGCGCTGATTTTCCACAGGAGGAGGAGGAAGAAATAATTCTGTCTTTTAAAACATCAGCGATAACAAATCCTTACATCCTGTAAGCATGAAAGTTCTCAACAAAACCAAGAGACTCTGTTTTTCAAGAGGTGAGGTGGTCTGGTGCTCTTGCACCAGGTTCTTGTGCAAACATCCCACAGAGAAATGCAGTGTGGATCTTCAGTGGAGGCTCCAGCGGAGGGCGGGCCCATGGCCACATACAGACATGTGGCACATATGGACTAAAGAGTAGAGGGTCACTCTGTGTTTTGCTAAGGAAACCTTCCAACATTTGTGGGTTTTTGGATGACAGTTTTCATTTTATGGCCCTAAGTACAGTGCAGCACTTCAATCGGATTTGCCCGGTCAATTTTCCCATTTGTTGGGAACAAAATGAAAGGAACGGCCCCGTCTTCTTCCTCCTCCCAGCAGATGGCGCCCTCCCTGAGCCTGGGTGTGACGGAGGTGTTTCCCTCCCACTGTCACCAAAGTGCTTGCTCACAGGAGGACTTCTGTTTTCTCTGTGCTGATTTAGGGTCTTCACCTTACAATGTAAAGTGCATTAAGGCAACTTTTTTTGTGATTTGGCACCATATAAATAAAATATAATTAAATACAGATGTTAAACTTATGTTCAAGGGTCGCGTGTCTGCTTGTACCTGTTATAACACTGTGGCAGATGTGTGGCATTTCATTTCTGTTTAGGGAAGTCGACACTGATTTTCTTGTCAGATTTTGAAATGTTGTCTGTCTGTGGGGGGGACGAGGTCGTGAATATGTGCAGTAATATTTTTGTGTTTCTTTGTTTGGCTGTTAATCATGATTTGTTTCATTAAAAGATGTGTAAACTCTCCTCAGAGCACAGCGCGGAGTGATCCTGTAAACCAGAGGAGACATTTGGAGCACAGCGATCTGCAGGGCTTCACTATCAAGGAGCTGAATGCTCTCTGTGCGTCTCTCAGCCAGGCTATACAAGGTACTATATAACCTTAGCCCCGTCGTTTAAAAATAAAAGCGCCGTTTTTTCTGATGCATTGAAGAGTGAATTTTAATGGTTAACTTTTCATCCGTGTTAGATCTGAGCTCAGAGCTGGTGGGTCGCCTCCAGGTCCGAGACCAGCTGAGGACAGAGCAGGACGCCATGCTGCTGGAGGTACAGGATCTAACGTCACTGTGACATCACGTCCACATGTGAGCAGCTGGGAGGAGTGGTTATGAGACTTAAACATTATTAGGGTAACGCCACAAAGTTCTCCACGACATCTGAGACATTCCCTGCTGCTGTTGGCCGGACTGGTCACTCACTGTGAAGTGTTGGTCTCTATAAATACTGGGACTTTTTTAATGTTCTGTGTTTTTAGGTGTGTAAGGGAAACTTTGACCTGCTAAAGACGTCCATCAGCTGATGATTTACATATGAAGCGAAAACCAGCAGAGAACTGCATGTCAGTAAAAACCTGTGCCTTACACCCGCTACATTACAGGACGGGTGTAAGGTCAAAACCTCAAAGGTAGAAGCATGAGAGGGAAATATGACATCCAGGTTTGGCTTTGTCTGTTTGTGGAAATGATTGTGATCCACGTGGAAAGGTGAAAGGTTTCACGAGTGTTACTGGAATTCCCGTCTCTCTGGAAAGCGCTCTTAGATCATCCGCCTTCAAGCTGCAAGCACTGAACCCAGGTCAGTGTCTGTACAGGCTAAATGATGAGCAGGGTCATGCACATTTCAAAAGAGGGGCTGTTTTTATTAAAAACAATAGTTTTAGCACCAGATTGTTTCCATTATGTTCATTTATTAACTTGAGAATCCTACTTGTACTTCACATCATTTCTCCCACAGATACAGTAGAGACAGTCATTTCTGCATAATAGTGAGACGGTCCTTAACACAGTAGTAAGAAGCCTTCCAGCAGTCCTGTGTAAAATATCCACCTGGCGAGTGAAACTTCAAAACTCTTAACTCTGCAGTGCAAAAGGGACCAATATGGAAAAGCTCATTAACATCTGTTCTTTGCTCTGTTTCGATATAGTCTTTTGATCCTGGCATAAAGTCTTATTCATGCTTTTCTGTCTACACTTTTTAATTGATGTTGGTTAATAAATGAAATGTGCTCTTTTGTACAACAAAACGATATCTTTAGTATTAATCTAAATTTTGACACTTTTAACTCATTCACTGCCATTGACGTCTATAGCCGTCAATGGCAGTGAATGAGTCAATGGGTTTAACTCATTCACTGCCAATGGCTGGCAGTGAATGAGTTAACTTGTTGACTTGACTAACCTGTAAATTGTAATTTACTATTTTTTTGTTCGTGTTTTTGGTCACAGTGAAAGTATTTCATCTCATTCCTGATGAGCTGTTGATATCAAGTTTAAAAACAGCAAACTTTTTAAAAGTTGAATGTAAATATGAACAGTACACATTTATTTGTAAACCATCAGTGTCTTACAATATACCAGGTGTTGAATGGAGACCACTGTTATTGAAATGTTCTCTTGGAGTGCAATGCCATCTTTAAATAAATAAATGATTTTTTAAAGTTTAAACAAAGCACATCAAAACCTGGAAAAATTAAAACTAACTAGAATAATTGTTACCACGGTCAGCAACACGAGCGTTTGTTTCATTCTGAGTTTTTGAGATTGCTTTAAGTGGAAAAGGAGGTCCAAAGCCCCTCCAGTCCACTGTGATGCTTTTCACAGTCAGTATCCATTCTGCTGATTTGTACTGAGTTTTGCAAATTATGAGCTGTGGATTAAAGCCTGTCGTTTCCTCAGCAGGACAGATAGTGTAGTGTTGAAGACGTTAACACTTGGGAAGCTTTTTTTTTGAAGTCACAGAATCTGGTTTCAATCTTCTGGTTGATGTTATCGACCAATATTAGCTATTTTTATATAGCTATGTACTATCAGTGTGGGCATTTATAATGGCCAAGAAATAAAATTAGTAATTATAAAATAAAGTTTATTGCAGTTGGTCTCCTTAGTTTCCAAACCTGTGCACAGAATCCATTTCTTCCATTCCAACCTCTCTGCTGTGGACAAGACGAAGGCTCAACAGCTGGAATGGTGACAACTGTAGGTTGTTTATAAAGCACTTTTCACAGGCAGTCACAAAGAGCTCTACACAAAAGGCTAAAATAATCGAGAACATTAGGTGCCAAAACACAATACGAATGATTAAATAAAACACAAAAATTAACAGTTTAAAAAGTTTTAGTTTTAAAATGAAACAAATTCTTAACACAAAGCCTGTTTGAATAGAAAAGTTTTTAACCGCTTTTTAAAAGAATCCACAGAGCCAACCAAATGTAGTTGTGGTGGTGGGCTGTCCCACAGACTGGAAGGCTCTGTGGATTTTAGGATTTAGTCGTGTTCAGGGAACAACCGACAAACTGAGCCTGTGAACAGAATATTTTGTAAGAAGCTTGGATAAATAATCTGGGGCCTGGCCATTTAGCGCTCTGTATGCTAAGACAAGAACTTTCAAACTCTATTGGGAGCCAATATAATGAATATAAAATAGGAGTAATGTGAGCTCGATTGCTAGACCTTGTTAATAGTCTGGCCACAGCGTTTTGTATAGCTTGGCGAGAAAAAGACTATTTGCCCAAGCTGGTAAACAGGGCATTACAACCTAAACGCAATGACACAAACGTATGAACATTTTTTTCCAGTTCAGCTAAGGAGACCATATGTCGCAGTTCAGAAAATGTTCCTTAAATAAAAGAAACCGGAACAAGACAAAGATTTTACACGCAAGTCGAGGCCCAGAGAAGAATCAGATATTACACCAAGATTTCAAATGTTTGACTTGGCAGCAGGACAGAAAGACGCAAAAACCTGACTGATTTTAGAATAGAGTTCAGGAGGAGCTATGATCACGGCCTCAGTCTTTTTGGTGTTTAAAACAAGGTAAATGCCAGAGAGCCAATCAGTAGCACCAGTTAAGCAGTGGACTAGGGTGGACAACCTATCCAGCTGATGAGGCTTAAACGACATTATTATAGAGATGATAAGAAATGTCACTGAAAGATTGAATAATGCCAGATAAAGCAGCCATGTAGAAAGAAAATAGTGGTGGACCTAAAACTGAACCGTGTGGAACCCCGTTCCCACTTATGAAGGCAATGTTGGAGGAAAACCTGTCTGTTCTAGGAGAGGCCCTATAAACAGGAAGAAAACCAAGGCAGAGCCAGATGCACTAGCCAAAAAATTAGATCATTAGACCTTCAAGAGAGCGGTCTCAGTGGAGCACTGCTTTTTATCATTATCATCATTTAAACGTTGCGTCCCACCAGCACAGGTGTAGAGGAGCCTGGAACAGAGTACGGACGATGGTGTAAGCTGCACGGGTTTCCACGCTTTCAGATGACCGCCCAGGTGGTAAACACAAGTGGGCACGGAGATCAATCCAACCCCGACAAGTCTGACCGAAAGGAGCCCAGAAATGAAGCTCCCAAAGATCAACTTCTCTCTGGTGGGCAAAGCAGCACAAGGAAACTGTCTCTCTTCCTCTGATGAGGCCTGAAAGAATACGAAAGGACCATCAGCCGCCCTGGGTCTGCTGCTCAGTGCAAGACGTTGCCTCATGGGGTGAGCATGATCATGAGAAAGGTGGTGGATCAGCCCAAAGCTACATGGGAGGAGTTTAATGATCTAAAGCAGTTGGCGCCATAGTCATCAAGAACTGGCAACACACTAAGCTGTCATGGATTGAAATGTTGCCGTGCCTACAAGGTCCCTCTCTTCGAGAAGGCACATCTAATCAGAGTCAGAATACTTTATTGATCCCTGGGGGAAATTATTTGTCGTTACAGTGCTCCATTATAAACAAACATTAACAGAGACAGACAATACACTAAGAATAGCACAATATATACAGGCATATATGTACATAAAAGTCACTTATTAATAAATAGCTGAAAAAGAACATGTGCAAGAAGGGTGTAGCAGTAAACATGGATGAGTTGTACAGGGAGATGGAGATGGCCACAGGTTCAGTGGTGCTTTTCGGTAATCTCAGTCTCTCACTGAACGTGCTCCTGTGACTGACCAGCATGTCATGGAGTGGGTGGGAGGTGTTATCCAACATTGTCTTTGTCTTGGACAGCATCCGCCTCTCCGACACCACCTTGAGGGAGTCCAGCTCCGTCCCCACAACATTGCTGGCCTTGCGAATCAGTTTATCGAGTCTGTTGGCGTCTGCGACCCTCAGCCTGCTCCCCCAGCATGCAACAGCATAGAGGATCGCACTGGCCACAACAGACTCGTAGAAAATCCTGAGAATTTTCTGGCAGATATTGAAGGACCTCAGTCGCCTCAAAAAATAGAGACGACTCTGGCCCTTCCTGTAAAGTGCTGTGGTGTTTTTAGCCCAGTCCAGTTTATTGTCAATGTGTACTCCAAGGTATTTATAGTCCTCCACAATGTCAACACTGACCCCCTGGATTGAAACAGGGGGTCAGCACTGTTGGCCGTCTTTTTCAAGACCTCTGCAATTCCCCCTTGTGTGCTGTCAATCAACTTCTGGGCCAAATCCTGACTGATGCGACCAATGACTGTAGAATCTTTCATAATCAATGTTTAGAGTTTGTCACAGTTAGTGGGTTTTTGACAAACTAGAGCTGAATTCACTGACTGAGCAGAAAAACCGGGGGAGTTGAATATGGAGAGAAATCTGCCTCAAAAGTGTTGCAAATGCATATAATATGATCCACAAGCATAAACAAAGACTTACAAATGTGCACAATGATTTGTGTATAACCTTTGAGGGCTTGCAGGAATGTGCTGACCACATGTATAACTACTTTACAAATGCAACTATCCAAACCTAAATAAATACTGATGATTCCACACCAGTTATTACGTTCAGCTTCACAAATCTGGCCATTTTCTCTTTCAAAACCCCGTCTGTGCCGGACCTTTGCTTCAAATGGACAAGACAAGAGTAAAGCCCTTTACACACCAAGTAGATAAAACATTTTCGAGGTGCAAATATTTTATGTGTGTACACACTGACAGCTTTGTCCTCAGGAAATGAACTGCAAAAAAAGCTCTGTGTAGGTCTTTGGTTGAGTCATGGACTAAAATGACTCAAAGGATGGTTGGTTAATAAGCTGGAGTGAAAGATTACTGCTCCTGTTCCTCAGTTTGTGCTTTCAGACCTCTGACAGTTATTGTGACTAACTGTCAGTGACTGGCAGTGTTGATTCGTTTAAGCTAACACGTTCATCTCCCTGTAACCAGGTTGCTCTCCTCACCTCCAATTTGTGGAGCACATGCTCTAAAAACACCAACACAACTCTTCACATAATCCATTCTTCTACCACGGTGTAGAAAGGAAGAGTCCTACCCCGTGGTAGAACCGTCTAGATTTGTGTATGAATAAGTGTGTTTTTGCATTAAACATTACGGGACAAAAGATTTCCTATATGTGTCTTGGTGATAGCAGAGATGAATCAGGCTGTTTAGATGGAGAGGTGCTCCATCTAAACATTTATGCAGAAGGTCAGAATTAACTTTACAACTACAAAATAAAGTTATACCCATTTTGATGTTTATTTCTCTCACTTTCTCTATTGACCAACCTAGAATGTAAGTGTTGATTATGCCTTTACCCATGCTTGTGCCTGCACTGACGGAGGATAACCAGCCAACAACCAAGTCTCACATAGGTGTAGGTGTGGAAGACAATGTTCTTCTTTGCTTGTCAATTACAAATACTCAAGAAAAGCAACGTAAAACAAACTAAAACTGTTCTAAAACCTTGTTTTAGAACAGTTACTGATTTCTGTTCATCATATGATGATCAAAACTGGTTTTACTGGCCAGTTATGATAATTTGGGGATGTAGTGTAATGAAGGTCCTACTCCTGACAACACTTTATACAGTACAATTGTGTTGAAAATAGGAGAATTGAGGCAGAGATGAGGTGCAGACCAGCCGCGTGCTTATTCACCAACACTGACGGCCACTAAAATGTAACACAATCAATGCAGCCCACTGGTGGGACATCTGATGTTAACTGTAGTGATGGTCTGTGGAGCTAAAGTGTCATAAAGACAGTGCTTCAGAAACACTGTGTCGAGGCTGAGGTCGGCTGGCCAGAGTCACGTGACTAATGACGTCCAAAGCGTCATCCTGTATGTCACTGCTTCAGGACCTGATTCAGTGCTTTATAATCAGGTCCTGAAGCAGTGACATAAGGAGACGACTCATTGGTGGTTACTTTGGTGATGATTTTGGTGAACCAGTGTATAACACACACACACACACACATACACACACACACACACACACACACACACACACACACACACACACACACACAGTGTTGGGAAGGTTACTTTTAAAATGTATTCCATTACAGAATACATGCCCCAAAATGTATTCTGTAACGTATTCCGTTACGTTACTCAATGACAGTAACGTATTCTGAATACTTTGGATTACTTAATATATTATCATGCTTTTTACAACAACGTGAATGTACTATTGCTGTGTGATTTATTACTATTACTATTACTGAATGTCCGCGACTCCGAACTGTAGTAAAGGGACCTCTGACTAATACGGCGGGGTCCCTGTCGGCTCGTAGCCGAAAAATAGCTTTACTTTGTTGTGTGGGTCAACTTTTCTTGCGAGAGACAGAGAGAGGCGTTGAAAGACTGCTCCAACGGAACTTATTGTTTTCGGAGGAAAACACGAACACGGTGTACAGTCGAGTCTTAATAGCTTACTTACAACTGGGCTCGTCAGGCACTCAGGCTGAAGTGGTTATTATTATATTTACATGCTTCCTGCTCCCGTTTCTGCTCGATGACAACTCGTACCTTTCCACTCCCCTTTTTCTCCCTCCTCGCGCTCACAGACACATAACGTGTATGGCAGTCCATTCTCCCTGCA